TAGTTGTCTGCCGCTCCATCAGAAATCTAAAAATTCAATAGCCGCTGAAATTGATTTTATTGAACGTGGGAATAAAAAACAATCAACGATGCAATTTTTGTTTCAATCTGGAAAAAGTAACTGGAAGAAGTTAAATGTTCAACCTTCGTCTTTTAATTTTTAGTTTATAAATAGATTTTCATATTTTCCAATTTAGATAGAGATGAAAAATAATATTTCAAAAATAAAAACTTCAGTAATACATATACATATATGAGTTTGAATAAACAAGCTTCCAATTACACCCTAAGCTACCATAAAAGCAGAGAAATATAAAGAAAAATCTGACACAAAGAAATACATTTTCTGTTAAGAGAAATGAGTCTTTGTTCCCTAACGAACGAAATGCTATTCAGAATCTCCTCTCAGTAGGATTTCTTTTGTAAGTTACGTTGCTGACGTTAAAATCCACACATAATAACATAGAAAAGAATATTTACGACCAATCGATGAATAACTGATATTTAAAGTAGACCAGGAGAAAATCTATCCCATCACGTGGTTGCCTCTGGAAATATCTTTATCGACAGGCGGATATTACAGCATGATTGTCATCGGTGATGACAATTACTATTGTTACCAGCCATCGACATTCCTCAGAAATGTAGGAAACTTGTTAAAAACTATGATCGAGTATAAAACATTCATCGATGTTAAAAAATATTACAAAAATATTACAAAAATTTAATTCATTAAAGCATAACGCAATCTTCCCTAAAATCTAAAAATATGTATGTTAAAAACAATGTTCTTTTCCTCTAAATTTTAACAAATAATTGCACCATTATTTTATAATATTCATTGATATCAACAAATATTTCGAAAATTCATTTCTTCTTAAGAAGACATAGTCTAACTTCCCTTAAAATTTAGTTAACAATTTCTTATGTAAGATGATAACATCTTTTGAAGAAATATTTGGAAGATTGTACTCTGCCTTTTCTTAAATTTTAGTAGATAATTGTACAAATGTTTTTAATTAACTTTTCAGGGTTTTATAAAAAAAGTTCGTGACAAGAAGAGAAAGGTATATGAAGATATTTTCATAACTGGAAAAATAGAGGTTGATTGGTAGAGGGCATAGGAAGAAAAGCGAAATTGCTTTTCCTCAGTGACAATTTGTCGATCTCCGATGAATTGCAAGGAATGAAGTCTCGACTAAAGGAAGCATTAATGGATAGAGGGAATTATATTCCCTGAGGGACTGTTTCACGATTACTTCGCCGTGGTGTAGCTGGATAAAATTCAGTGAATTGACTAGCCGGTAGCCAATAACAAAGGAGTTGGCGGCCTTCGAACAAACTTTTTGTAATCTTGATCTCCCTTTGTATAAAGCATCTCAGTGTACTGAAAAGAGTTTTCAATATTAGTGACGCAAATATCTGTATTTTTAAAACATATTATAACATAACTTGTAATACAAATGTTATAATATTTGTATTATAGAAAACTGAATATTATATTTTTTAATATGTTGAATTAAAAAATAGAAAATTATGATATTAATATCAATTATTATATAAAACTATTATAATATAAATGTTATTTCATAATACATATTTTTATCATAAGAAAAGAAATACTATGTTCCTTAATATAAGGAATAAAAGATTATTATAACATTATAATTCTAATATCAATTATTCTACATAATGTCTTATAATATTAAATTTACCTTGCAAAATGTAGATTGTATAATCTCTTTTATTTCAGAAGATATTTTTCATGGATTATGTAAGGGAAATATCGAATTTCACATCGAATCATTAAAGGAAAAGATGGAGTTGGATATACCGGAAACGTAATCGACAGTTGTGCAATCTATTTAGATTTATTCAATATGCTTTCTGAAGATTTAATACTATAATATGAATTTCAACGTCACAAGTAATAAAAAAAGGAAAATACAATTTATAACTGATGATTGATTAACATCAGAATGCTACGAATCTTCAATGTATCCCTAAATATTAGACTGATCATTTTACTGCATTTTATAAAAATTCACATTTATATTCATATTAGAATCATGTTAAATGTTAACCCTTTTAACAGCTTTTCTTTCAAATATCTCCCTTCATTTTCAAGCGGAATATTTTTACGATAAAAAAAAGTTATGGAATTGCGTATTTCGCATTCCACTTACTATTACATTTTACATTTAAAAATAGTGGCGGTGAAGGTTATGCCGAATGATTTGTGTAATGTTAACGGCCAAATATTTAAGAGTCAGGGGTCACGAGAATAAATGGACCTTACGATATCCATAACATTCCAGGAGCCACGATAAACCTGGTAAAAGGCAGTATTTGACCACGCGATTCTTTCAAAGAGTCGACACGTCAATTTCCTTTTTATTTCCAATCCCTGATAACTTACAGATTTTCGACTACGAGGGGAATCCCCAATAGGTTTGCTGGAACTTATCCATTCAACACTGATTTTCTGATTATTCAAATCGATATTCCTTCTTACTTTCATTAACGCTTCATTTGACCGCTCTTTTTTTATTGAAATATCTGTTCTTTCAATACTCTCAATATTAATTTTTTTTACAATATTACTGCAAAATACTTTGATGTTCCAATTTGTTAGACCCTGAAATGCATTTATTTGTTTCTGATTTAATTACACAATTCCTTTTCTATTTATGTTTTTTAATTTCTATTTTTCTTACTTAACATAATTCTTTTATCAGTAGAACTTTAGAACTCTTAAAATTCTTTCTTGTATATCTTTTTTAGAGTTCTACATTGAACTTATTTTATTATTTAATTGCAAAATTCTTTTTTATTTCTTCCTTTCTTTAATTACTATAATTCCACTATACCATAATTTTTTATTATTGCAATTTTGGACTCTGAAATTCCTTTTACGAATACTGTTTAACTTAATTATAAATTTTGTATCTGTTTATCTTTTTAATTATCATAATTTCTCCTTACCATAATAATCTCTTTACACTACTGGAAATTCTTAATCTCTTAGGAAGTTAAGATAGGGATTCACTCCTTTTTTTCTATCGATGTAGAAATTTTTTCCAATTCGAGTTTTATCCACAGTAAATCATGCTTCCGAAAGGCATCACCAAAGGCGAAATCCTGCAGTGATAGATTACTTCCTATTCTACTGCCGTTAGTCCGAAATGGGCACTGTCCATAGAACTAGTAAAGTAACAGAGGGGCATTAACATTAGGAACTTCCAAAATCAAATAAAGTTACTACTAACTTTTGTGGAAAGTCAGCATTAGCGATGGTTGACTGATTCTACAGGATAAGGTAGTGTTCTATTCAACTTCTGGTATTCAGAAAGAGATCATTGCCTGAATGCATCGTAGTAGGTAGTAGAGGTCAAGCTTTGGTAGAACACACCATGCACTCGAAGAAATTGGAAGCGTAGAAAATTAATTGTTCATGAAAACATGCGAACATTCATCTTTTTATGCACATCGAGGATCAATGCTTAATCAGGTACGATACTCCCTGTCGATAAGTGTTTTGCAGTGTCTTCAATATCGAATCGATTATGCTTTAATAAAATATATAAAGTTGTATAGTAGGATAATTTCGATTAATATTTTTTCAAATAAAATGGTATATGGTATATTTAATAATATTTGATCATTTATAACTAGACTAAATTGCTACATATATATGTAGCTAACAATTATAATTCGGAAGCAAACTGTTCATAACCAAACTTCAACGTATCATAACGTATAATAATTATAACGCGAATTATAATATAAATTGTTCATATTTTCATATAACAAATTTGTTTGTGCTTATATACAATTACTAGTATAAACTACTTATATGTGTACTTGTATATTGTACACTTGTACCTATATACAATTACTTCTAGATATAAACTTGCATATTTATATACAATACGTATAAGTAAATTACTATAAGTTGAGTATTGTATATATATACTTATAACTGATACATACTTGCATAAGTAATAATTGTATTTCAAAACCGACTGGTCCATAGCAAATTTTCATGTATTACCAAGTTGTTCATAACAGAATGTGTAAGTAATAATTATAATTCGAAATTAAATCGTTTATAAGAAAATGTTCACGGATTACCAAATTATTTACAACAAAATTGAACGACAGTTCTGATTTTTCCATCATATTCTTGAAGTTAATAGTCTTTCCAGAAACCATTACTCTCGATCCTCGAAACACAACGATACAGAAGCTCAATCGAGGGAGTCATTTAAAATATAACGCGTCACTGATCCTTTCGATTTTCGATACTCGTGCATGCATACGTAACCTAAATCACTCGATGACATAACCTTAAGCTGCTTCTTCTGCTTTATACTGTTCTTTATATAAGGGGAAGAGATATTTTATGCTTAAAAATTGACTACCAATATACGGGATACGTTGCGATATTCGGAACTTTTTGAGATTGCTATAATAAAATATAAAGCTCTTTATTGACCTGCGTGAGGTATCGAACTTAATGTGAATATGTGTCTATCCTGATGTGTTTATTTCTTATATCGAAGATGATCTTCGGTGAAAGAGAATATATATAGTACAGCAGATTTTTAGTATAAATAACAAAGATATACGAAATTATTAGCACAGACCAAATTTTTCGGAAAATAAAGGTGAAATTTTAGGTAAGTCTTATAATCTTTAGTCTATCATCTTTTTTATTAAAGTCTTTTGTAAAATATGACTTTTATTTCTGAAATGGTGAAATGGTACATCATAGATCATTACTGTTAAGCATCTATACAATAAAAATAAATGATACAAAATACATAATGGATCGCTTCCATTGAAACATAAAATTTAATTAAGATAAAATTGATACAAAAATTGATTCTAGAATCATTTTGACATAAAACCAAAAAAATAATAATTTTAGACAAATTTCGTTTCATACATAAGTTATATAATGAAATATAATTGTTTTAAACATTAAAATCCGTATTATTCGATATCAATCGATATTTTCAACTGTTGCTTCTAATATGCATATTTAAACTTTAGATTCAAAAGTTGTATTTTACAAAGGGACTAAGTAGAGAATCGTTTTTTAAAATTTTATACCAATTTGTAAAATCTGTGATCGATTTGTGATAAAATCGATATTTTTCAAATGTGTATTTTTCCAAGTTTATACAAATCTATAAAATACGAGTAGATTTATATTCATCATTATATATAATAACATTTTGTATTTCGAAAATGTGAATGATTTTAGTCGATGACGTGCCATTTGATAGATGTCCCTTTTGTCAGGTGTTGTACGTCAGAATCGTTTTTCAAATCACGAAACATGACTCGATTACCATTGTTACACGTGAACCAGTCGCGTTGCTAGCGATTTACGATCGAGAAGTACATAATCGTGATACAAACAACGGAACAGCCGCGGTAAATATTTGCGATGACACGGATTTACCTTTTGCGACGAATATTATACCATGAACCAACTTCTTTCATGTAAATTGTACGAAATTCGGAACTAATTGTATTAAAATCGGAACTAATTATTCCATTCTCTTTCTTTTTTTATACACAAATGGATGATAATTATTAGGTTGATGATATTTATGTACGTACATATGTATATATCTCTATAAACATGATTAAAAGTATGGAATTTTAATGGAAAGTTGTATCCACCAAATATTATAGTAAGTATTCTATTTTGGATATTTTTTATATTTTTGTATATTATATACTTCGTATGCATTCTTGTTCCTTCAAATGAATACATTAAAATCTGTAGTTTAATTCTACTTACACTACTCTACACTACTATAGTATGTGCATAGTATATGTAGTGTATTCTACTTATATCATATTTTACTTTTCTTTTTTTATATTTTATATCAATCTTTTTCTAGGTCACTATATTGTTTCTGGCAGATAACTAGGTTATATTAGTATAGATGCAAGTGGTAAGGAAATCTAAGAAATATTTTGGACTAAGAATTATGTATTTTTAAATAAATAATAAATGAAGTTCGATAAATGTACACGCTTAGTAGCCAATGTATACACATAGAATTTAGACTTTTATTAGCTGAAGTTTACTGATGTATTGTAGCAGATATGTGTATTGTTTAGTAAATGAATACTAATTCACGAACTAACGATAGGTTATGTAAATATACACACTAGAAATAGTAAACATTTTTACATTTAGCCAACATCAATCAATAAAAGTATAAATTCATAGTTCAAATAAAATCGTGAGAATCGTACAGGAAGTTGCCAGACTAGTCAAGTACGAAACTAATTAATCACAAAAGTATACATTTTTATACTCTGTCAACATTTTTATTCTTTGACTAAATATAAATATCACTAAATCTTACGTAAATGCATATATTAATTGTAATCGAAATACAGAATTAAGAAAATATTAAATATGTTACTAGGTATTACTAGGTTAATCAAATAAAGAACCATTTCGATTTAAAAATTGAACCGGTACGAAAACAGAAGCATTTTCACGACATTTATTTCAGTATATTTCTTTGTATTTTCATACAAATGGCAAAACCGAATTGTCCCCGAACCACAATTTATTTGGATTAACAAGGTTTCTACCATTTTATCCGTTTCTCCTGTTTTCACGTATTTTTATATTTTTCTACATTTCCGTTTCATTAGCAGCCGTGGAATTAAAAGGAGAACAATTGCAATATTTCTACGTTTATTTCATCTTTTTGTTTTTCGAGGATTACGATAGAAATTCAACACTTTATAACCTCGTTAGTTTGCGTTATGCGTAAGTACGTTGCCACTCGATTTTTGCAAGTTACATGCTCATGTTAAATTGCGTTTGCACTGACAACAAGCAATTGCACTTTGCAGGTCGCCAGAGTTGCCTGATAAGCCACCGAAACGCAGAAAAGATCACAGAACACATCCGCATTGGAATCCTCATTGGGACAAAGAAAATGAAAAGCTGAATGAATTAAGATGAAGTTAATAACGATGAAAATTAATCACTAGACCGTGGATGATTATAGATATCCATATTTTTATAGTGGTTATAATTAATGAAGAGTTGGATGTTAGTATTGTAATAGCAATTAAAGAATTGAATGTTGATATCGTAACCGTAATTAGAGAATTGGAATTTAAATAGAAATTTATTGCTTATATGATGATGTTAGAGATTACGTATTAACGTGTATTTTTGCGTCTTTAAATTTTTCACAAATGCAGGAAAATTTAATAAAACTATGTTATTCTAAGGTAGCATAAATATTCCAAATGTAATACTTAAAGTACTCGTGATAATATTTAGTGAGTGAAACAAACCACTAGTTAGATTCTTCTTTTTTAGTATTATTTATAGAAATACAAATTTATATTCGATCTATTAATCATATATCTAGAAATTCGAATCTTCGAATATACAAATGTCTCCAAAAATCAGGAAAACCTTAACTCTTATCATTGTTACATTTCAGGTCTTTCCGGAAGTGAGTAACATAGAAGTTTCGTTTCGTTTGGTTACGAAATGTGCCACGATATAAAGAGAAAACACTCGATATTTGAAGGTGATTCGTCATGAAGTTTCATTAAATCCGAGAGATTTAACAACGACATTCTTCTTCGTTAATCAGATTACCGGTCTCTGGTTTGCTTCACGGTGCGGAACGAAGTCAAATGGAATTGTCTTTGAAGATCAATGTGTAACGCCTCGGTTCTATGGTCTTTGGAGACACCTCGACGGTATGGAACATGAGCTTTTTGTATTCTGAAACGGATCTTGAAGGGAAAGAAGGTCGTAAGAGCTGACGAACAAACTTTAATTGGAATCCTCTTGAACATTTAACATTTCCTATCTTATTGTTAAACTTTCGACTTAAATGTAGTTTACTAGTCCCTGTGGGAATTCTGTAGAATAAACCCACGTGGAAGGTGTCTGCATGTTATTGTCCAATGAAAAATGAAAAGTTTCTTTATTTAATAAATAAACAGAAGGCAAAGATTAATATGCGCCATTGATTTTTTTTTTGTAAATTAATAAAAAGATTATATCAATAAGAACATATTATATAATAACATTATTCGAACATAAAATAAATATTAAATTGAATATGGAACAATAACATTTTTTTGGAACATTTACAGTTTTTCTTTGTTAGGTGACAAATATCGCATTTTCAGTAAACATTATATTAGAAGATTGTACCAGCCATGAAAAAATTCTTGGTAATCGTTTATTATACATTATTATATATGTATATTCATTTTTATATATCCGGTATTATATATTTGTTTATAGCATATAATTTAACAAACACAATCCAAATAATGATTAACACTATAGTAACAAGTACATAATTTTATACTTGAATAATTACGAATATACGCACGATAAACGAGATGAATATACGAATTACGAATATGTATATATGTATGATATATGTACAAACTAGGATATCGAGTAAATAATGTGTTAATAATGTTAATTGCTTGTCATGACTAATTGATTAGTTTGTGGCATTGTTCATTGAATCTATGGTGGGACTATTGTGATCCTATTAATGGGACAATTTACAAATTTATTCAATGTATCCCTTTATCCTATTTATTATCAATAAATAATTAATAATATGATAATTCTAAATTGTATTTAAGTTTTTATTTTTAACTGCATTCTTTTTCTTTCAGAAAGAATATGGGCGGAGAGCATTGATATGAAAGATGAACGATCGCCGTTATTTTGGAGTGGAAAGATTCACCTTCAGTTTTAATTAAACTGCTGGAAAACCGTATCGGAAGCTCCGACGAAAGCGGAGAGAAAGGGTTACTGAGACCTTACATGTGGTGTTTACTTTGTACTACTCGTGCAACTAATTGCCATGACAAAGGGAGGGAAATGTAACCCATCGTCGACCCGAGTAATGATCGATCAAAACTCCATTATTGACATTCTTTTGAGTAACGCGTGCAAGAACGATAGAAAAAATCAAATTAAAATCATTCGAATATGATTATCTTATTTTCTGAGTGGATGAGAGAAATATAATATGTACACAAGTACATAGAAACAAATTGATTGCTTAGATACTGCAAAAATGTTAGGGGAAATTAATTGTTATTTTATAATGGTTATATTTATATACGGATAAAACTTGTCTGCTGTATACTCTATTTCTGGAATACAACGGAAATAGAAACAGTATGTTTAGATATTTTTACTCCTTTCAGACATCAATTATTTCAAAGCTTCTATATTTCTCATCAAATTTATGCGCACATATTAAATGTTAAGTGGTATTATATTATAAATTTTCATGAAATATATTTTATAAAGATTGCAGGAGGAAAGTGATATATAAGTCATGTTTTCGTTCTCTTTTTTTACAAGTGAGCAATTTTAGAATAATAAAACGATTTTATCTACATTTAAATTGTGTTTAAAATACAATGCTAAGTACAAAGAGCATTCTTTGCTTCGTTCCTGCATTAAATTAGGAGACAAAAGTTTGCAAACCTTTGTTTTTACAAGATTTACTTCTCTGAACCTAACAAGTTATTCTCTTTCCAACTAATTAGATCTACCAAATGATATTTAATGTGATAAACATAAAAAAAGCGGTAAATATAGACTTATCGTATCTTTATGTGCTCTTCATTTAAATATCAAGTGACATTAAAATCATTCAAATCACGAAAATCAACTTTCCACGTTTTATCTCCTGTGATCTCATAAACGTTGTTCAATAAAATAAAATATGATACATCGAGCTGCATACAATTTTCCAAATGTCCAATGCTCGTTATTCAAACCATCACAACAACTTCAAACAACATAAATCTCTTTACCTGTTGCTGATAGCGTTGATAATCGGCGTTTCCTTTGATTACAGCTGAAGCAGCGTTGAAAACTGCAACGAAGAGGAGCAGCCTCGCCAAACAATATACTGGCCCATTCAGAAACATGATTCCCCCGGTTGAATGCGAAGAAACCGGAAGTAAGTGTTGTTGAAAGAAGAATGGAATGGTTTGAAGATGATTCGTTGACGTTTTGAAAAGTCGTGTCTTTTGTCACTGGTTCGTATTGTTGTAACGTACGGGGGGAAAACTCGTGGAGCTGGCGTCAGGACAAACTGGAGATTGTGTGGCGTCGCGACGCGCGGCGTCCCTCTTATAGCCGCTAGTCCAGCCCGCGATTCGTCCACGCTGCGCATCCCCAAACGCTTGCAACTGCCAACGATAACGCTGATAAAACAGCCTACGTTCGCCTGCACACCTTTCACCGGTGAGTCGAAGACCTTCTGTGTTCGTTAGAGGAGGCTGCATTATAAAACAGAATGATAAAGGCTATATAATTAGAAGAGAGGAAAGTATTTTGAATAAGGATATTTGGAAAATGGAATTTTCCAGACTGATAGAAGAGAGAAAGTTGCAAGAAATGTTATTTGGGAAATAGAATTTTGGAAATTGAAATATAATAGGATAAGAAAATGAAAACGGAGAGATATATTAGAAACATGAGATGTGAGATTATAGTATACTAGTACACTAAGTAATATAAGATGTATAAATGAAATTTAGATTGATTGGGGTTAGTTGAGATTAATAAATAAATTTATATGTATATAGTTCTAAAAATGGTTATCTCTAAAGATAGGAAGGAAATATGTAATTGCTATATTTATATGTATATGGAATATGAAGGAGATTAATTGTTTGGAGAATTGAAAGCAAGAGAAAAATTGTTGATAATTAAGTGGTAGAGTATTTGAATTTTTACAAGACATTTTTACAAAATTTTGTATAACAGGAAACCTTTTCGATAAAAGATTTTGTTTAAATAGGAAGAAATAAATTTATTTAAAAATGTCCACTTGATTATCGTAATTGCGAGATAACGTTTTTAAGAACTTGAGAGCTTAATAAACGGTTTAAGTTGATTAATTCTTTGACTTGTTAGTTTTATTGAGCCAATGATCAAGATCTAAATTTCTCGCTCTTTCTCTTTCATTACTTCGTTAGGGCGAGTTCAGTGAACGCAATAAAGTGTATCTCCATTATAAGTGTACACTAAAAAAAACGTGGTATCTCCGGTTATTGAGCTTTTCTTTCCAACAAAAAGAACATAAAACAAAATTAAGAAGATAGAGATGCGCAATGCATAAAACTATTTAGAGATAGACGTATAGATGTAGAAAGTAATACTAATTATAATAAGCCAATATTGCAGCAGATTTATGCAAATATATTTATGCAAATCTATAATTTTATAAATATGAAAAAAACTTAAATTTATAAATGAATCTTGTTTAAAAAATGTTATACATTTTTACATATAATTCTGCGTATTTTTGTATTTTCAAATGTTCCATAAATGCATAAAAATCCGTAGTCCACCAATTAAAAATTGTTTAAGATTATCTAGGAGTTACCGACATCAAAGCTCATATATCACAATCCGCTAGTAAAGTAAATCAATTTTTCTATCGTTACTGAGAAACAAAATCAACAGTTTAAAAAGAAGAACTAAAATTAATATTGAAAAGAAATATTTATAGAAATTTATATTATCAACGGGACTACTACTTTAGGAACGGTCTATTATAAATCACGGACAATGTCTTTTTGAATAAAATGTCGCTTTTATCTATTTACAGGAATAAATAATTATGGAGGTTACAGCATTGAGAATCTGCAATACCATTTATTAGCATGAAAAATTTAAGCCCATTGACTCTCAGGTATATAAATCAAAGAAAGACTTTCATTCTATAATGATGTCCCTAAGGAAATAATATCTGAAGAAAAAAGCTCTCATGCAAAAAAAAATCCATTTTATATCTTTTACTTTCAAGAAATTATTTTATTGTTTTTTCAGCTTTTTAATAACAAAAAATATTGCTTTGTTTTGCTAAGATACTTAATTACATTGTCAAAAAAAAATAACACTTATGAGACTGAAAGATAAATAGGATTCTTTGACTGAACTTAATGAAGTTCTTCTCAGTTACTGTGTGTGGGTTAAATTAATGATTTTATCTTTGAGAAAGACATGAATGCAACTCAAACGAGTGTCTAGAGTCTAGAAGATAACAAGGGAATAGTATAATGTTGTGGCTGCAGTTTAAAACAGAAGGACACTTGTATTACTGATTATGTTATGTATGTCACATTTGCACAAACTATAGAATTTAAAGGACGAACATAGTAAGTGGAGTTGACTTTCCATTTTCACATAGTGCATAAAATTATTATTTAATGTTATGTTTAGAACTTTGCATTTCTTTTATCAAAAGTAGAATGTGAGAGCTTTTATTAATAATGGAGTAAAATGAATCCTGAATGTTTACATTAATATATTAATTTATAGAGCTTTTCAAAAAAACTCTACTTATCCTATTAATTACTTTCATTTATATTTATCATATTTGGACTCTAGATCCTGTTTTATTTATATTTTTAACGATAATAGTTTCAATTTTTTCGGCAAATATGCTTCACTTATCGTTACGCTGTAACACATATTGTATGAATGGTTGCTCGACGATAGGCACCCAAACCTTTCTTCTTTAAAGCTCTATTATCACCGATTAAACTGAGATCAAGCATGAAAATATGAAATTACATTAATTTATGATTAAAATACATTAATTTGTAACTTCTGATTTCTAATAATAATAATATTAGTTCAATTGTGCAAGAGAACCCAGTGACTTATATTTATGATTAATATTAAATTTAACATTAAGTAATTTATATTTATAAGAAACTTCTCTCCTTCTAAGCGTATGCACTTATGATACTGTCTTACAGAATACAATAAAAGAATTAACCCAATGTTCTTCTACTTCTCCAAAGAAGAAAGAAAATTGTTTAACGTTTAATAAGTAAAGTGCAATGGATATTGGCCTCCTGCAGGAGAAAAACAACGATCTCTTAGTATCGCCAACTGTGAGAAAGATGAATATATGCCGAATGTACAATATGGTAGTTTATACGTTTCATCCCCCTTGGAACCAAGATCAATCAAGACCACTGGCCGTGATGTTTATCTGAGCCTAGTAATTGCCATAAACTGTACCAATGATTGCAGCTTGCCTATATTTTTGGAAAAAACACCAGACCTTCCTAACTAATTACGTTTACCTTTCGATTTCGAATATTTGTTGTGCCTTTTATATTTCATTATTCCTTTTAGATTTTCAAATGCTTGGACTTCTTTAGTATATTTATATTCCTGTTCCGTGGAATTTCTTTCTTGAAAATTTTGGAGATTTTATCTTGTATTATTATATTTAGCACGTTGCTTATTTGGATTCTTCAATTGGTTTGGTCATCAATTTGGATTCAAATTTTGGATTCTCTTCTCCTCTTTAAAATACAATTAATAATATTAAAGAAAAATGTTTCCCCTAATCTTTTTATATTCTATGCTTCTATATTCTATATTCTACATACAGACTATCCCACCTAATTCTGTCACCCTTAATTACTCTCTTATCTTTAAGGAAAAATGTTTCAGACAAAAGTTGTATGGTATCCAGAAAGACGTACTGTGTTCTTACGTATATCATCTTGCGATGACCTTGAAACGTCCAGTAAAGGTGACATTAAAATTTTTAAATAGATGCCTCCATATTTCATTACTTATTCTTGTATCTAATATTAAAAAATTTTCAAAACACTATTAACTCCTGCCTTTTGTACTATCGAGATCGATAGTACATCGATAGTACGATCGTGATCGAGATATGAACTTTAAAATTCACCATATCCGATGTTCACCATGAGTACACATAAAGATGTTTTTAATAATGCCACTACTGATATAACCGAAGCATAAGCTTGCAGTTTTCTAGTGTGTCCAAAACACTCTGTTAATTCCGCGCAATCATTTTTAGATAATTCCTTGTATCGGTCTGTCGAATTTCAATGTCAAAAGACACAAGTTTGTAGCGTTTTGAAATATAATGAAAATGGAAGCATCCATTTAGAAATTTTAATGTTACCTTTACTGGACGTTACTGGAGGTTAGCTCAAGGTGATATATATGTAAAAGCATAGTATGTTCCCCTTGATACCATACAACTTTTGTGTGAAACATTTCTTCATATCGTGAAAAATAAGAGAGTAACCAAGGGTGGCAGAATTAGGTGAGATACCCTATATATTCTATATTCTGATACATTCCATTATTTTTCTATATCATATTCTGTGACCCAATCGCGTATCTTACATAAAATTCTACATAACCTCTTAATGTTCAAACTGCCTGTAAACCTTTATATTGTGTTCTGAACCTATGAGATATTCATCATTATACGGTACTAATTATATTTTAGGTTAGGAACTATATTAAAAACTCGTCAAATGGATTCTGACAAAATCAAGAAAAGAAGCATCCTATGTACGTCGTCTGAAATGGCAAGTGAGACGTGGCAATAAATATTTTAATCGATCATGAATAAGAACGTTAAATCAACGTATTTACGAAAGTATCGATTATACAAAATGTCCTAGTCGTCCTACAAGAATAGATTCAACGGTGTTCAATGGGAAACTGAATTATTCACTGAGACGCTTCTGAATCTGAATTTTATTAAATCACGTCCGCGAGATTTACGAGCCCGGCTCCCTTAGGAAAGCACGATTGTTTGATCACGTAAAACGTTTCTTAGTTTTCTGTTCTGTTTGCCTGCCTTTAATGTCGCTAATACTGGCAAGAACGACCATAAGCTGTCCATTTAACAGATCAACGAAATATTAATTACTTATCACTTATGCATAGGTTTGGTAATAGGTCTTGTTGTTAATAAAAATCAATAACTCTTTGATAATTTTAAGAAACGTGAATATGATAATTGTTTTTAATTTTTTTATGAAGAATTGATAATTATTCTGAATTTTAAAGAGTAGAAATTTTAATTATTTAATACTTTTAGATAATAGACATTTGATAGTTTTTATATTTATTACTTATTATATTTGTGTGTAATTATATGATAATTACTGACATATTTTTTTAAATGATAAACGTGATTTTTGGGTAGTTTCGTTATATTTCAATGGCATAAAAAGAAGACGTAAGAATAAAAATCTGAAACATTTATCTTATCAGGCAGAATATCGTAATTAAATTTCACTTTCTTTTCCTTGTGGCTATCAATTTACGTCATTAGTGTGTAATCGCATAAAATTGATTCTGAGGTAAAATTCATGGCACTATCTTCTTTCTCTAAGAATTTATTATAAAAAGAAAATTTAGGTAATTTCCATATCTCTAAATAAATGTTTTAATTAATTTTGTTTAATTCTGATTTAAAAGAATTATTTACGTGTCTTTGAAAATTTCTGTTTAAAAAGAAGGAAAACAGGAAGAAGGAAGAAATTACTACATTTTAAAATAATTCAGTTGGACTAAGAAAGAAGCGAAGATAATTTTTTAGTAACAGTTTTAAAATTGCTTGAAAATAATTAAATCTGTAGACGAAGATCGTTATCTTGAGAAACTGAAGAATGTATTATTGAAAACAAAATGCTCTGTAACTTCGATCTTCGAGCGATTGAGAATTCCAATAGCCGATGGTCAGACCTACTTCTACTACTTGAACCATAATGTAATGTGACGGCTGTCTACCCATGGGTAGGAACAATCTACTGACGTTCCTCTGGCAATTCTGGCATGCATGAGTTACACAATATAGGAATAGGGATGTATTTCTGACAAAGTTTAACTTCTGCAAATATTACTAGTGATAAGATACATATAATAAATTTTCATAATCAGGTACAGAATTTATCAAATTTTACCTTTTATAGTTAAGTAAAGCTATCTTATAAAGTTTTCATTAGATGATTAATCTTTAAAGTGAGACATAAGTAATATATTTATTAATATAACAAAATTTTACATAGACACTAAATTTTATTAATATAATTATTGAAAATTATTAAAATGCATTGTATTAATAAATTAATAAAATTTGACATCTATTATATTATATTTTATCGTATTCTCTTATTATATTGTAAACTTTCGTTTTCAAATAATTCTAATCTCGTATTATTTTATATATACATGTATAAAATTTTAAGGCAAAAGAAGTTTATAGAACATCTTCCTATAACATGTTTTATTTAAATTATTTTGTCATAATAATTACTTTATAAGGCATGAATATTCCTCAAATCTAATTCTTACAAATTACATTTATTTTTAGGATTAAACAAATACTTGCAACGGAATGCAATCCATAGAGAAAGGAAAAAAAGAACTCGTTTACAATTTCTATAAATATTAACTTGGTTGCAGCAATAACAATGCTGTTCAATATACCACAGAGAGCCCTTCCTGTTCCCTTAATTCCACCAAGTGATTTCGGCGTTGACTTACACGTTTATCTTCCTTTGAAATGCTTGTGAAAGTATTTTAAAAAATCTGTCACTGTTACAATATATTTAGTAAGTGCAAATTTTAGTGACTTTATAAAAATGAATTTTAGTAATCTTTTAAAACATTTTTTTTTAGAATACAATATAATTTTTTAGATTAATTATCTAGGCCTAATTTAGTGAACTAATATTATTAATGAAATTTTACAAATCACAAGTTACAAATTATTAAAAACAATTACAATAAGTATACATGTATAATAGGCAAAAGTTTGGTAGTAAAACAAAGAAAATTTTACAAACTTGAAAATCATTCGATTGTACTATTTTGTGCCCTATCATTTGCTATATTGTTTATTCAAAATTGCTCTATAACTAGTCACTTGTCAATTCACTAATATTATTAATTAAACATGAATAATGTTAGATGAATAATTAAGATAAATGAGTAAACAATTTATACTAGTTTTATAAATTATTTTGTATTATCATATAATAATTAAAAGATTTAAAAAAAATTTTAATAACCAAAATTAAGTTCAAGTTTATTCAACAACCGTAAGAATGTATTTGACGGGGGTGGTCTTCTTCAGTGACCTTGAGTAGCTACCTAGGTACTTCTCAACAAACTACATACAATCTAACACCTCGTGATCAAAAGTGCTTTCAAGATCGCTTATTGTTAACCTCAACATTATAACAATAACCACGACAATAAATGCAACGAGAAATAGGAATGGTCATGTCTTTTAGATACCATTCCAGAGATTGTCTACCAAGCTCCATACAATTTACCTCATACATAAGAGGAACCATTCAAACAGTTGATACAAAGACATTTTATCATTCACAAGGTAGAATCAATGAAAAATCCAAACAACGATGAAAATGTATGATCTAATTAGGGATGAAGCGGCGATGGAAAAGGTAAGTCTAAATTTGGAGGCTCTATATGGCTTCTATCGTGCCAACCCCCTGCCACAGGGTGGGCGTGATACAGTCCATAATTAACGCCATTTGTTGCTATTTTTTTTAGACCCTGGATACTAGACAGTATCAAGGCCATTTTGGCCAAGAGCAACGCCTTGCCACCGAGAACCGCGAGGAACTGGAAACCCATGGGTATCAAGATCGAACCCATCAGCAGGAAGCCCATCATCATCAGCGGCACCATGTGGTTATGTCTACGACGGTGGCGACGCCTACGGCCTGATAACGAAACGAGCATCATTAATGAGATACTTGAGACAACAAGTGGCTTGTTAATGTCCACTCTCAAATTAAAGAAGGATTTTCGTGCAACAACAATAAAAGCAAATGATTTTCGTGATTTTTTTTATACTAACTGCTAGTTATATGGGATTAAATCCTCTTAGGATCTAAACACAGTCCTGAAATAGAAATGTAATCTTTTTTTATACCAATTTTTCTTACTATTTATTAACTTCTTAAACTGCAACTTTTAACAACATTTTAGACCGGCATGTCCGATAACTAATTGATCAATCAATTTCGCACAAAGGTTATTCACTTTGCTACTTTTGATTATTTATTTATAACATTTTTTTAAACAATATAAACTTAATTTACCTGGCGATAAAAGTAAATTTTTCTTATAAAAGCTAGAACTTTCCGATCTTCTATGTTTTTCTTTCAAACGTAGGTTCAATTTCAGCGTAAATTATCTAACTTTCAGAAAATTTCTTAACTTTTGCATTCTGATGACTGTGGCAAATGCTATACTGCACACCAGCAATGATTACATTGTCAAAGACGATCGCAAGATCTGTATAATATACAATAAGCAATAAGAAGAAATAAAAGAAGTTACATTCGTACTTCAAGACTATCTATTTAACCCCAAAAAGGTCCAATTACATATAATCAGTAGTTAGTCTGAAAAAAAAGTATAGTAGTCACTTACTTGTATTATTCTTACACGAAAATCCCCCCTTAAGTATACATATTATATATCTGTTTTCTTTTTTAATTTGCCAATTAACTGAATGTACTATAATTGAAAAAGTACATATATAGCTATAAACCGTAAAAGAAATATTACGTTTACAAATGAATAGTCCAATTTTTTCAGTAAAATTCAGACCCTATATATGAGAAGCTATCGCAAGTTGTTCAGTCAAAGTATTTGTCATTGCTTTCTATAACTTTAAGCCATCTATTGGACAAGTGACGAATTCCAACACGGTAAGAATGCTTTAGATACGATTCAATCGTCATGGCACTAACAACAGTGAACGTTCTGTGAAATTCCTACGTATCAACGTTAGGCCACACACTGCTTCTACGACAAAAGACATCATAATGAGCCTTGTTTGCGACATCTTGCAGCAGTCAGTTTAATCACTGGACATTAGTTCTTCGGATTACTACCTGTTCCGATCGATACAACACGCCTTATCCGATAATCACTTCCAATTAGTAACTGAGATACAAAAATAACTTGGCAATCGGATCTTGTCTAAAGATGTAGCATTTTTTCCGTGATGGAGTCCATCACTTGTCCGATAAATGATTTAAAGATATAGGATGCAACGATGAGTATTTATATAACTTTCAATTTCAGTAGAAAATTTGGATTGTTTATTTTGTACATTTAATATTTGTAAAATGACCTCATATTGATGATGAGTATGGTACCGAGCGTTTACTCGGCTACAGATTGTTGCATGATAATGATTACGTTTACAGCAAGATATTTTGTCAATCAGAATTTACCATTTCAGTTAAATGGACACGGACTAACCTTCGAATTTGTAGCTATCTACATCGGTTGCTTCATTATTAAGGAGGGAAATAATTTTATTAGTCAGATAATCCACGTCGACTTTGAACACATGAGTGCGTAAAACTCGTAACAATCGCTTCACGATAACGGCTGTCCAATTGGTATCATCCCCTATCTCACTGGAACATACGGAAAAAGATAATTTTAAGTATTATATATTTACATTTTTCTTCTTCGTTAATTTTGTAAAAATATGAAGTTGAATCTTTATTGAATATACCAAATAATTTATTATCGTTACAGATTTACGGATGAACTAATTTTATAATAAATCGTTCACTTAAAAAGATTTCAAAAAACAAACAGGATCAGTTTCAATTTCAATACTCGCTAGATAATAGGTCATTAAGTTAATCTCGTGCTGAGTAAGAAATCCCTTAAACGCGGATTACTTGTCACGTGAGATTGCGTGACTTGAAATTTGTCCGCGGAAAATACTTCAGCGCTCTATTAAAGGTCTGATATTTTTCCTGTTCGCAAGAAATAGGGCGAGGCGACATCGTAACTACTTTGTGTCAGTGTATAGCCGTTGGAAACCATCGTAGGTCAGCGAAACAACGATAATAACCAACAGGAATATTATACAAATTTTTAACAAATAAATAACTAATATTTTCTACAATTCAAAATATGATTTATAAAAACTGATAAAAAGAAACGTATAGGAAAAGAATACTTAAATAATATCTGAGAATATTGATTATTTTCTTCATTAATTTTATAACATTCTTTTCTAACCTCTTTTATTCATAACGAAATTTATCCAAATTGATAAAAGATATTTATGAAAAAAATAAGAATAATGCTGAAATATTATGGAAAATCAAAGAAGAGAATGATTAATATTTTTGAATATTATTTAGCTTGAAAGTAATTTTTAAAATTTTCAAATCAACTATAAAATTAATTTAAATACTTCTCACTATTCGGTAACTTATATCGTAAATGAATATAATTCTCCATTTCGAAAATTGCATAGGTTCATAAACATTTATATTTTCAGATATAAGGTTCGTCAAGTTTACAGAGAAATTTGCAGAAATTCTATGGGATTGGAGGTCTGCAATCTTTTAGAAGCTTATTCTAATATTGACCGAGCTATTGGATAAAGGAAATCAAAGATGAACTACACTTTTCAACAGAACGGGTCTTTACATTGTATCAAAGGACTTTTAATATTTTTTAATAAGATAAGCTTTGGATATAACTGCTCTTAGATTACCATATCTACACTTTACTTACTGTAGAAGTGATACAGTTAAAAAAATTGTATTTTATTTCTTTATTTAATCATGATCAAGTTCATTGTAATCTCATAAATGACAAGAATGTACTTGATTCAATTTTGAGAACATTATTTCAGTTATTGACAAATTTAATTAACAAAATAATGTGTTATTATGTTTACAAATATAATCTTTTATATTTTACAGTTGTTTCACTTTGATAATATTCATTTTAATTTTGACTAAATTATTTAAAATAGACATCTAATATTTTTTACGGTAGAAATTAATATTCTTTATCTATAATTTTTTTAATTACCGTTTGTACAATGTAAAAAAATTATTTTTAATAGAAAAAGATTTTCTACAGTTTCCAAGAACAAAGATAATAATTTCAACAACTTTTTAAATTATTATTTATGTAGTTTAAAAATTATTACTTTTAATAAGAAAAATAATATTTGGCATTAGTGTTTCTATAAAGGAGACGTTTGATTCAATTATAAATGAAGCGAATAATAATTAGAACGACACTTGGAGAGAAAAGAGAAAGATATCTCATAAAATGATCAATAGGGAGTTAACTTTCATGCGATTTCGCAAGCCGAGAAGTTTCGAAGTGGAGCGCAGAGCTTCCACTGCGACTTTCACGCCCTAAAACTTTTCAGAACCGAAGTCGAACTTCCACGAAACTTCTGCAACGGATGTCGGTTGTATTTTTCTCCAGATCCTCAAATATTTAAAATCAATCCACTGAAATCTACGATTTCTTTGCTTTTTTTTTATACATTTCTATCTCTGCATCACTCTCATATCATGGATCTTCCAGTTTTCATTTTGAGTAAAAATATTCTGAAGCGAGTTTTTAAAATCGTGTAGATTTTTACTTTTGAGAGAATATTGTTTATTTTATGAACTTAATATTTTCTTTAGGATACTTTGGGAATTATATTTCACCTTTTTTGGCAGATCTAAAGTTTAAAAAATATCATATTTTTTATAAACCGTAGAAAGAAATATAATTTTTATTTCAGGTCATGTCAAAGATAGTAAAGTTAAAACATTATCATTTATAGTGAGAGAACATCTGATTCTAAAATATCCAATTCGTCTAAGAGGCCAAAATGATCAACTCCACCTTTTATAAGTTTCACAATTTTATTATCCAGGTACATGATTAATGTTCGGTTCTCAAAATATAAATAGCTTACTCCCATGAGTTCGTTTATCGGGAGAAAAAATAGTATAAATGCTAGTAAATCCAAAGATAATTTTTTTTTTAAACAATTCTTCTAATGCAACTACTTTTCAATTTTCTTCTTGGCTTCTGAGTGGCACATACGAGCCACTTATTTGTCAAATCGGCTAATTGCACAAAAAGATTGCACAAGAAAATCGCTGAACTTACATGTAAGTTATAATCAACCGAGTATTTTTGCATTAGCATTTCAAAAATTTCTAAAAGTGGAGTTAACCTCTTTGACCTATGAACAATTCATATAGCAATGAGCACATTAATTCTTTGTTCTTGTTTACCTTTCTCTATAATTGTCCGTAAAATTCTTGTCCTCGTGGAACCTTACTAAATCCAGCCCCTCGAAAACTGGTATAATATCATCAACTAGAAGTGCATCCAAAGCAGCCAGTGCATGTTCCTGCACGCATTTTCGAAACTTCTCTAAAAACTCATCTTGCCCTGAATTGTTCCAGGATTCCAATGGACAATTCTGAAGTACGGTACGTAGGCCTGTGTACCACTTCGTATTGTCGTCGCAACTAGCGCCATCGGTCACAAGGATGACAAGTACGAACACGTAGAATGCACGCGGGTGCATCTGCATTCAGGGGAATAGTCGCCAACTTTAATAGCCGGTCGTAACAACTCGCAGACCGATAAAACTTAAGATTCGAGGGTACGCTCCGGATACGATACTTTGTGTTATCGCACGTGCAAGTTATAGGCGTAATAAAAACAAATGTTTTGAATAGGTAATTTATGCCTGTTTTGAATTTTCTACTTTCTTCCTTTTTTATTATTAGGCTGTAGATGTTCATGCAATTTTATGTTTATATGCATGTAATTACAAAAATGGAATTTAAGTACATATTTGTTTCATCTACTACATATCGTGATAAATGATCTACTTTGAATATTTCATATATTTCTGCATATTATATGCACTCTATAAATTTTTTTAATATTAAATGTCCCAAAAATGCATAAACACCTACAGTCTATTATGCTTTAAATTATAATATTAAAATTGCTTAAGAGTTTATTTGTTGATCTTGAATTAGACTAATTAATTTTGAACATAGCATTTATTTAATGCTATTAAAATCATTTGATAAAGATTAAGATTTATAAAATAATATTTTGCATATATGAAAATAAAATTTAGTAAATTTTCTTAAACTTATGTATATTCTATTTGAATTAATTTGGTGTATAAGACTTGTTCAATAATTAAAACCAAACCTTGCAATATACTATACCAACACTACTATATTCTGAAAAAATCATTCTTCAAAGTGTGAAAAAGTAAAAATTCCAAAATTTCTTCCTTTCTTAATATTCACAACTTTTTACAAGTAAATAACGATTATTAAAGTTACAGCTACCCTTGCAATCCAATGTTCTTCATTCACTGAACAAAATGAACTTTACCTCGAAACACGAGCACACCACTGGAGATAATGTTCTCCAAATCGGTCGCGATACACTGTAAACGATCGTAGCTATATGAAGATTTATACATGCAGGAAATAGGCTAGGACACCGGCCAGGTGGTCATTGCGATTCATCGAAGGGCAACAAGGCAACGGTTAAAAGGCGGCACCTTTTATGCTCCAGCAACCTTGGTCTGTAATTATCAACAAACTCTTATAGAATTGCATGACTCAGACCCTGAATTGCTCTTTCAACTGATCAGTGACATTCTGATAATTGAATATAAATAATACATAAAAACACGAAACTTTTTAAAGTGGTTATAACATGCTTACAATAAAAACAAAAGATTATGATAATATATTCAATCACGAGATCTAAAAAAATGAAATTGTTTAAGATGGCAATAAGATACTACATTAATAAGAACAAAATTTAAAGAAGTATAGCATAAATAAGTATACTGAAATATTAATATTTCTTATTATCTCTTATTTCTAATTATCTCTAATTATTATTTCTAATTATCTCTTTTAATCAGATTATTTTATTACATGATTTAATGAGACATTACGAGTACTGTATTCTATTGAGATAAAAGGAATTAAAAACCAAGAAAAATTAAATTGTATGACATCTAGAATTTGCTAACTGTGAGGTAATATTTAAAAAATATCTAAACCTTCTTGTATAACAAGATACCAACTAATAATATTAGTAAACTGACCAAGTACAAATTGCAGGGTATAGATTACATTTTTGTATAATTTCATAATCTTTTATCAAATAAAACAGTGATTATTGACAATCTATAAATGTTACTTGTAAAATTTCATTTGTTTTATTTAAATGGAAGCTTATGTTAATGTCATGCAAGAATATTTTACTTTACATTATTATAAGACTGCAAGAAACACTATGGCTGCAATTTTCTTTTCTTCTCAAACGGTGCTTCTTTTGATGTACGTTACTTTTCCAGTCCGGAAATTAATGCTTCGATACGAAAATTACTAACTATAAATTTATATTCTTCGAGAAATTACAGTACTCGACGTCTTTCATACCATAGATTAGTAAGTTTACGGTAAATTTTCTATTAAATATTATGGCAAAGTGAGGAAATGGAGAAGTTATGAAAAAAAAAAATGTTGTATTAAAAGAGAATTGTATAAAATAAATGCTTTAACAATAAAGTTGCAAATTTTATTAAGATATAATAATATAACAATTGAAATTATTAATCTATTATAAATATATTTTTTAGTCATTAACTTCATACCTACAATAAAGAAAGCACCTAAGCCGGACCAAACCATAAAATTTCTTTATTTCTAGCTAGATTTTGTTTCTTACTTCATGAAAACAAAATATCACATGCTGCAGCACTGAATTCATTAGGAAAAATAAATTGTAAAAAATATATAATAGATTACACCAAGCTAAAAAAGAAACCTCACAATGGTTCTTTAGCAAGTATATACATTACACATGAACCACGAATCTCGTTTTATTCCAGAAATTAGATAATTTTTCCCCTGAAAAGTCATCGATAACCTGTAAACATTCGTTCCTTGAGAATAATAATAAATGAGAATGAGAAGAAACAAGAAATATCTTCTGATCTCATATGAAGAATAAACAAGAAATTATATAGGATAATCATATATGCTTCTTCAATGCACAATATAGTGTTTCAAAACTATGATTTAGCGAAGTAAGTGATAGTAAATAGTAATGAAAAAAAATATATATGTTTTATTTAATTAACATATTTCCCATTTCGCTTCATTTTTTACAAATTCTAATCCAATCAATAAGCAACTTAATATATACCAAATCCCCATAAAAAATCTGATATATGTAACTAATCAGTAGTCGCTTAAAACTTACATCTTCCTAATCTCATCATTAGACTGCGGAAGTTTATGCTTTTATAGAAAATTTGAATGCATGCAATACACAAAGTATGCAAATATATATTAAATATTTAAGATAAAACAAACACTTATAAAAAAGACATCTGTCTATAGACAAATATCTACCTATAAAAAGTTTAGATTTCATTTCTTTAATTATATTCATAAAAATGTGAATTTACATAAGCATCCGCAATCTTCTTATTACAAACAAATAAAGCGAAATGAAACATCTTTCTTGAACGAAAAATTTTCTTAATCAAGTTTTCATCATAATCCTATCACACTTTACTTAATTAACATGTAGTTTTGTATTCTGTATGCTAGGAGTTGGACAGAGTTATTGCGAATTTCTGTCAATCACAGAACTATAATAATCTCACTTGCTTATCCCACCAAACATGCACCCTTGATCGCCATTCTTTTATGAATTATCATAAAAAGGTATTCAATCTTTCTATGGATGAGACTTTTAGTTTTTGTTTTTCATTTAGGTTTTACAAACGTACGAATTATAACTACATATCGAACAACTGTCTTCATTGACATTCCCCTCTGTATTTTTCATTCCCTTCAGACGATACTTGTTCCTCGGCATCCCAGAACTAATGCACAATTCCAGGAAAGCCCACTCCTCAATGGATCCAAGAGAACTTTCTTCACTGAGAGAACTCACAGAACTATGCCTTGAAGGTACTACATTTGACTTCGTTGTATTCCTACGTAATTCGTCGTCATCATTTTCACCATTTAAGATTGGGGACCTACAATTAGGGATTTCGGAACGTGAAGTACTTAGAATATTTTCGTTCATGTTGTTATTTTCGTGCTCTGACTGAGAAAACTTTTTGGTGTACAATGCCATACGGTTTGTTCTTTCATATGTATTAATTCCACTATTTTTAACAATATGTTTCCTATTTTCCTGAACCTTCATAGAATGGAAGGTGCAAGAATTTCCTTTGTGCAGGGAAAGATCATTCTCTATGGGTTTATGTGATGGCTGGGTTTGCACCACCGTGTTTCCAAACAGATGGGGTTTATTCACATAATAATATGAAGTACTGGAAATATTTCTCGTTTTTGAGTATTCTGGTTGCTTCTTTACGGACACTAAGGACGAATTTGATGAAACATTCAACGCCTATGAATGATAAAAGACCCATAAAGTTTAATCCATCTAAAATTTGATATGTAGAATGAAAAAATAAAACTGTATATTTTTACCTTTGGCATACCAGATTTAATACACTGCGCCAGCATGATGTCTTCCTCTTCCTCTGAGAGGCCTAAATTATCCTCGAATGGTGCAGACTTCTTCGACTGATGTTTATTATCCTCAATATATCCTGGCTGACGGTACGACGTAGACGATGACGACGATGGTTTTCTTGAAGCCGTCACCTTCGATTTCTCCGCGGTTTGCGGCAATGCTTGTCCTATAAGTGTTGAAATATTCAATTTAACCTAGAAGTAATACACAATGGTTCATAAAAAATATTGATATAATCAGGATTAGTCAAAAACGGAATAAAGAAAGAAACCTTAGGCATGGCCGCTCTTATACATTCACTGAGAATGGCTTCATCGTCCGAATGATTAGGGCTGTCGCCAAAAGGATCATTTTCGTGATCCAATGTTGTATGACACATGGATTTTCGAAGAGCAGGGTTCTTGTTGGCACTTTCTACAGGGGACGATGATGGTGTTCCACATATATTGAATCTCTGTGTTAGCACTTCTGTTTTCTGTACAAAGGGAATGCAACTCGTTGGTGGCGGAGTTATTTGTCTAACCTAAAACAAACATAAGATAGTTAACATTTAAGCACCCGGCAATTGGGGATATAAATACATCTAATTATTTTTTGATTTGCTGAAAAGAAATTAGTTTAAAAAGTATACACAATATTGTTTATTGTAGTAATAATATAGTATAAATATATTTTATTTCATGTTATATGGATTAAGAAATGGTATTTAGTCAACTAAATTAATAGTTCTTTTTGTTATGATAATCTTCATAACAAGAGCCCATATGCAAGGGAACTTTGCAAAATGTACTTACACATGTAACTGTGTAACTGGGTGTTTAAGTGTTAATATCGAAGATTACTTAAAAAACTTCTCTACAGTTACACGTACTTTCGATATTCCTGACTGAATGCACTCATCAAGAATTTTCTCATCTTCACCAGAGAGATTAGAACTTTCATCTGACAGATCGTTTCTATGGCACTCGACTTCACCCGAAGATTTAGCTTCTTCAATCCTTTCTACATCTTCCTGAACACTCGGCATAGACAAGGCAGAAAGATTCGATTGTGAGCCCACTGGGGAAATATCAGCAGGTGTATCTTCTGTACAATACACATGTACGGTATCTGGAGCAGCAACAACTTCTATTGCGGGCTTGCTAGGTTTCGAAGCTGTCACTGTAGCATCCGCGGAAGTGACAGCAACAGGAACTGAAGGTTCCAGTCTGTTTAAAACTGGTGTTCTCTGACAACGTACCAACATGTTTGATGACTCTGATTGTATGGGTTTCTGGACAGTAGACGTTTTGAAAGATTGTCTATATCTGTAATATACATAGTTAAAAATATTAATATTAATGTTATTAACAAGTGATATTAGTTGATAATGATATCGCATATTTATTGAAAAAATATCATAACTGAAAATAATTCAGTTCTATGTGTCTTCTATAAACAAATAAGTGCAACATGTATATACACGAACGAATAAATATGAATGATTAATGACTAATATATTGCAAACTATTAAAATACCTATTATTTTGTATTCCCATGCTGATACATGCAGCCAACATGTCTTCATTATCTTCATCACCATCACTCACTTGTTCCTGATCCTTCTCAGCTTCTACGTTACTAACTTTTTCTTCCAAAGAATTTTCTTTAATATCTTTATCCAGCTCATTAGATGGTTCTTTCAGTTCATTTTGAGGTTTAGATATATTAGAAATTTTCATTTCATCGTCGATAGTTAAAGAACTGAGACTAGTAGCTGTGGAAAATTCAATGGGTGTTGATTCCTCCTTAAATGTGGCAATGTCATCCTCGAAGACACTGGTTCTCAGCGCATGACACTTTGAATATGCTAAAAAATAATATCTGTTAACAAGACTAGTAAGGTATTAAGGACATTTTTACTATTGTATAAATAAAAATTCTTATGCTTAATCTTTCACTAACGATCAATAGCATTGCATACATAAATGTCGAACAGGCTGTCTTACTGCTTCTTCTGGTATTTTGCTTATAAAATCTGTACACTGATTTTTATGATTACGAGGACTTGGAGGGATAGTTTGTGTTGGTGAATCTGGTAATTCACTTGGAGACACAACACCACTGGTCCTGCGACTATTAAACATCAATTTCAGTGTAAATTATAAATTTTGTTACAATTATTATTATTTTGCTGTGATTTGAGAATTACAGGGGGAAAAATATGATATAAACGTACAATTTTGTTGATTTTCTGATTTTGATGTTATTTAATAATTAAAACTGACATACTATATAATATAACATAATCAAAAACAAGAACAACCTGCTTGGTCTAGTACTTTAGCAGTAGGTGACAAATCTATGAAGTTTATTTTATAATGTTTTTAAAATCATTATTCTTGAAAAGAATTGAACATATATAAACCCATAATTAAATTTAATAAAAAGGCAGTTTTGGTAATATGTGATTGTTTGACCAGGATTTTTTTCACTTGGATTTTAAAATTATTCTCATCTAAGAAATAAAAATTATGACTTATCATATTTCTCCCTGTGCTCTTTATGAGATTTCTAAAAATTACCTGAAATCACTGATGATGGAGCTACGATCATCATGTATAGAATGCTGCTCAAATCCACTCAATGAACCTAGAGAACTACAACATGAAAACATTAAAGGAGTTTGTTCTGCATAGTAGTCTTGTCTACTGAATGTAACCATTTTGCCTATAACAATCAATGTAACAAATAAAGCCACAATTTTCCATAACACTTAATAAAAGTTTATACAGTACATTAAAACATTAAACATAGCAAACCTTCTTTGTCTACAACTCTGGAACTATTTTTTCCTTCTGTAGAACTATCAGTTTCATCAGGAATACGTAATATGTTGATGTTAGTGCTAGCTGCAGTACGGTCTGCTCTCTCTGACACATTATCAGCTTTGTCAGAAGAATCTGTGGAAGGTTCTTTGGAAATAATTCCATTAACATTATTCCTTTGTGTTATCGCACTACCAAGGGAGCTGAGAGAATTAGCACGAGGAAAACCATCAGATGTTCCTGCTTGATAATAATTCATTAACTTTTCATTAGAAAGACAGTTAGGTTTACATGTCTCAGAAGTTTTAGAGGATTCTAATTCTTTCTCAACAAGAAGTGAACGGTCTTCATTGCAATTAATTGTCATTGGATGTTCATAATTCAAATCTTCCTTGCGACTAAGTTCAACATTCTTTTTACTGTGTTTCTTCTGCGAATCAACAGATTCCTTTGCATTCTCCAGACGTAAATCGGACATGGAAGTCGCAGTCGAAAAATTGAAAGGTGTTTCATACGGAGTTCCTTCTGTACAGTAAGTCTTTACAGTATCCTCCTGAACGCTTCCAGGAAAATATTCAGGACTCTGTTTCTCATCGTCATCAGTGTCATCCTCTGCGTATCGTAAACTATAATCTGTTGGCTGATCAAGATCGGTTTCAGCATAATCTCCAAATAAATCGACTTTGGAGTCACGTTCTCCGAATTCTTTCTTACAAGATCGATCACTTCGAGAGGAATTCTCCGTTTTCCTTTCACTGTACTTTTTGCTATAATCTACTGGTTGCTCAGTTATTTCATCCTCATATCTTTGTCCCGTATTCCTCTCCATACTGTGCTTTATTACTTTATTTTTTCGATTGCGATATATTTTCGCCCTCGAACAATTTTTTTGGAATTACAGTTTTATCAATTGATTAACATAAAAATACGAGGTTTGAGTATTAACTAAAGATTTGGGTGTAAAAAGGAATTACTGGAATCCGTTTTAACAGATTAATGTTTAATTATTCTCACCATCCCCGGTAAAATCTTAAATCAGTAGATGAGCAGAAAGATCACCGATACAATGTTAAAAAAGTCAGCCAAAAGTGCACACCAAGAACAAGGGTCTCTAACGGTCAACGATAGAACTATGCATATATTCTCCTTCGATACTCTTAATGGGATGAAAAAATAAATAAAATATTCAAAGTACAATGCCTTTTATAATAATTGGTAGATAAAACAATTTTCTATCAAGATTCTACTTTCGTAATTTTATATGTCAATATATAAATTTATGCAGCATAAAAACATGTATGAAAATGCAGTCTAATCATGATTATTTAATTCATTTCTACATTTAATAACTTACATTATAATGAAATTTATATTGTTATATTTTAATAAAAAAAACATTACAAAATAAATTTTATAGAATATCTTGCAATTATAATAAAATGTCAGCTTCTCTGTAAGCATCTTTTTTTAATAATTATCAGAATAATTTTTTCTTGAAGATATATCCTCTTCATTAAGAGAGTATAGTAATTTTAGACAGAGATATTTCAACACGTATAGCTATTTTTACAGGGATGCTTTCGTAATATTATATCGTTTTGTTAGTATCAGTTGACATGTATAAAAAATCCAAAACGGACAAATGCAGGCGAAATTTCGGTTCCGAAAAATTCTTGAAATATAGCACCGATTCCGAGCATTGGTGAAATTGTGTCACCTACTAATGGAATCCTAATTAACTAATAGAAAATCACTATTTTGGTCGACGAATTTCTTGTTCGAACGACAAGTTTTTTGCTCTTAGATTTTCTCGGAAAATTACATCATTTTCTGGAATTTTAAAATGCTTCATATATTTCTTATACTATTTTATTCTTTCAATATTTATAAATATTCACCAATTTTTTCGAATTTTTGTCATCATTAACCTATCCCTCAAAGCAATGGGAATTGGAGAGAATTAGAGGATTGTGGATGTTGAAAGGACTTTAAATGATTAAACGCTTTGTTTATATACAAAATAAGATTGCTTTATTCAATTCAATATGCAAGTTTACAACAATTGTACAGTTTTACAATGTGTTCATCATTTTCTATATAATAATTTGTGTAATCGTGTAATTTTATGCTAATTTGATTTCGTTGCACGATCGATGGAGTTAAAATAATTCTTCTTGCGCGAATGAAGACCGAAAATTTATAAATTCATAAACACAATGAATACTGTATTTGAAATAGTTCACATATTTTCATATATTATGTACATTCTATGTATTTTACCACCCTTAAACTCATAAATGTATAAAGATTCACAGTCCAGTTATAAATGCTCGTGGTACAGCGTAGCGTTCTGCCGCTTGTTTTCGAATCGCTACTAAGCGCATGCGACCGGCCAACTCCGTACACCAATATTCGACGACGTTCTGATTGGTCAATATAAAAAACTCGCGAATTTGAAAGATTCATTCACACGGTTCCTTTTTCTACATATATTAATATTATTTTATTGTTACAGACAGCCGTTAATTACTTATTACTCCATGACAAATTGTCAGGCTAGCTAAGGCTACCAACCACAGCTAACACTCAACTGATACATTGAAATAAAGGAAAGGAAAGAAAAGATTCATTCAAGTAGAATGTTGCAACCATTAAGATCATGTACGCAAATTCCTTACTACTATATAAAAGACCGTATTAATACTATTTAAAACTGATACATCGATCGCAGTGTGCTCTGGAGTTATTGGGTATACGAAATGATCGCACAATATGTCTAACATACATTGAATAACAAATATGAATGAATCTATTTAAACACTTATAATCATTAAAAGTATAATATTAAACAGATCTTAAGATTGTATACATTATTGCAATTTGTTTCTTTATTTCGGGAAATATTGTATAAAAATACAATGACTGAGAACATGGTTTGGAGATTTTTATGGAAAAGTACTTCATTCGTTTATTTAAATATCTCTGTTTCTAATCAAGTGGAAATTGAAAAAACATTTGTTATGAACAATATAAAAAGTTGGTCTTAAATCGGGTTTATTTATCTTTTTCTTAATGTAATGTCCTTTATCATTTTATAGTTTAACCTCGTCCCCTTCCTGCTTGAGATCCTCCGGGCTGATTCTGTTGATTTAGCCAAGGTGCAGAACCTGTGCCTCTACCTCTCTGATTTTGACCTCTACCTCTTCCACGAGCTAAAACAAATTATCAACTCAATAAACAAACAGAATGATTGAATATATATAGTGGCTCATAAAGGCATTATCACAGAAAACTTTTATATATATATTATGTGTCTTTCATATACAATTTATTCAAGTTTCATTATAGGTCTAATGAAACTTGAATATCATATTTGAATGAACGTTAGTGAAATTTGAAACAAATATAAACATGTACATAGAAACAACAAGATATTTAGTGCAATTATAGGTTTTACAGAGATTACAAACCATTTAAATAGTTTTCAATTATTCACTATATTAATAAACCTAAATATTCAATGGTATCATCTTTAACACTTATTAAATGTTTTAAATGGCTATCTTTGCTGTACAATACATATATATATATATGTTCTAATACTTTTATGAGCAGTTGTGTATATCTCATAAAATACCATACATAAATGAATATACTAGGGATGTTTATGCAAATTCATATCTGTGTGAGCATAACTAAAGAAATGATTACCAATTTGAGTATTTTACATATTTCCAAATATTGTGTACATTCTATAGATTGTAGAATATTTACATTTCCATAGATATATAAACACCCACAGTCTGTTAGCGTAATATGAGGTAAACGTTATCAACTCAACTGTTCACATAAATTCAAACAAAAATATCTTAAAACTAAAATATATCATGAGTAAACCTTGGGCACGTAAAATAGCTGATTTCCCTCTGCCTGCAGTTCCCGAACCTTTGCCTCCCGGTCTCTTAAACATTGGTGCGTTCTTCAACATGTCTGGTAAAATGAGAAATCTAATTTTTGAGCCTCTAATATAAACATTCTCTAACTGCGCCTCACGGCCGTCTCTATAAGTTACAGTGATATTTTGCATCTGACAGTTCATATTATCCTCAGCTTCTATCAATTTGCCGCGGTATACTTCGCCAGTATTCGTTTCACAGGTTATGGTATGGCCTTCCGCTTCGTGGAGTACTTTTATCGGTACTCCGATCGACATTTTGGCGAACTTTTTATAATTCCAATAACAAACACAAAATATTACTTAATTGATTCAAAATAGTCAGAAATGTCGAAAGAAATAAAGAAATTGTAAATGCACACTATAACCTCTACTCTGGTTGCAAGCGTTTATACTAATCGCTTGCTTTAATTTGACCATCATAGATGGAGTTTCTCTCGCGCATGCGCATTGGATACAATTACAAACGGAAGGCGCGAGCAGAACACAATTCTTACTTCATGATTAAATACTTATTAAAAATAGAAATTAGAAGCACAGAGGATGATTTTAAGTAATAGAAGAAACCAATTAATTCGTCTAAATACTTTCGCATTAATGTGTAATTTTTGTTCTTCGTAGAGAAAGAAGATCGCAACAGCTCTCTATTTTCCATTTTTAAATAATCATATATTTATTGGTCATTAACTTATCGAAGTGCTACCAACTTTATGATAACACAATGTGGAATAATCGTCAAACTAGGTTCTCGCAAAATTCATGTAACTTTACATTACTTGATTTGGCTAAACACAGAAACTTATTTCGTGTCTTCTATATGTGTCTTATTGTCCTAAAATTGCATCACTTTTTTTATTTAATCGCTAAAATTCGCTTTAAGAAAATGATCACTAATTCGTTCGACCTATAGATTACATCGAATCGGTGAAAAAAAATGGCAGACCTCGTGTTCCAAATTACATACGATATCAATTTGAGGAAGTTTGGTCGAATGCCAAATAACTTCATCTGCCTCATCTTTCGCCAGGGCGTTAAATTTATATATATTTTTGTTTGTTAAATATACATAAATATAATCAACTATATAATTATAAATGGTGAAGAACCATCGGGATAAAGATCGATACTGACGATCAAAAGACAGATTTATTGCAGTAAGAAGGAGTTACGTGAAAACGAAAGAATTAGAGGAGGAATTTCGTTATGGATCATAGGCGTAGAAACGAATAATACACCAAGAGCGATAATTTTTTCTTTTCCATCTACGAAAGAACCTAAGATATTGTATCTAAATGTGTTCTTGTCAAAAGGATGGTAAAATCGTTAAATTGATACATAATATATTAAAGTCGACGTCTCACTTCTTTCCTTTTAATCGCTTAATTATACTAATATCAATCATGTAATAATTACAAGCATCGTTTACGTCCTTAATATGTATAGTCAGCCGAGTACGAACACGTCGCTCTGTTTTTATCCACGTCATTTTCCCAGTTCCATATACGTACTTTTTTTTACCAATCTCGAAATTAATTTTCTTCCCAACATTCACTCAACCATTCATACTCTCACATATTTATTCTTTCTCTCCCTCTCTTTCTCTGTGTGTGTCTACGCAAGTGTCATTCATTCGTTATAGGCAAGATTCTACTCCCCGATATCGTGTTACAATCTTAGAAAAATATGCTATGCCTAAAATAGGATGAAGGCCTGAAGGCAACCATTCCGTCGATATTATTGATAATCAGTGTGCGTACCTTCTCTTTTACACGTCGCTTCAATCTAGTTGACACATTATTCCCTCTCTTTTCCTCTAAGGTGCGCGTCAGAACGAAAATGTATCACTGCGCAACCAATCTGAAGAAAACAATTTGCAAGGACTATTTTAAATTTTCCCTCCAACAGTCATTAAGATTTTCCCATCATGCAAAATGTTAAATAATAATCGTATGATTTCGTTATGATGCATTACATAAAAAACAATTTTTAATGTTTGTTTTGTAGGTTGAATTTTATCTTTCTTTTAAATGAATCATGACGTTAAAATAATTTATCAATGTTGCCAACTGACAAACGACTAAAGATAAAAAAAATTTGAATTGAAATACTCTGACGTCATTCGTGAAAACAAAATAAAAGACGATTTGTTGTGAAGCCTCGGCTAATGTGAGATTTTTTTTTAGTTAGTAGTTCATATTGAAACAATACGATTTTTATTTATAACATTTTTTTTTGTTTTTGTTTTTCATACGACGATTACAAAAATTGGAAAATTGTGACGACCGAGAAAGTCTCACTCTGTACACATAATAATATATTGTCCATAGACATTATGTTCATCGTGTGTTATGTATGGGTATGTACGTGTATCTGTACGTGTGAAATCACGGCAAATATGGAATATATGCAAAGTTTCTATAGAAATCGCTTTCTCTCTTAGCTTCCTCTCGTTCTGCAAGAAGTACATACAGAATTGTATCGACTATATTATAAAATAAGGATCATCCATAACGTGGCACTGAAATTAAGAACGATTCACTTTATTCTATTTAACGTATCAATACAAGGACTTTTCTTCTTTCTTTGTATTCTCATAAAGACGACTTTTTCGTTTCAATAGCTTTTTTTATCGCTAGATTGGCTATCACGCAAAACCTTAAAAAGAACGAAGGATCAACAATCTATTAGAAAGAAAAAAAAAAAGAAAAACAACGAAACGCAATTATTCTTAAAGACAGAGCAAAAAAAACATGATGGTACGATACACAGTGTGGTGTTTTTTCGTCTTACTCTCTTGCTCTCCCTTTACATTCTCACTCTCGCTCTCGCTCTCACTCAATTTCTTCCTTTCTCCCAATTTAGCTATCTTTAAAATCGCAAAAGACCCAGTGTGACGACTATCGAATCTTTTTTCGCACGCTCGAAAGAAGACAACGATACGCGGGAAAAGCAACTCTTTCTGTTTTTGGAAAACTCACGAAGCAACAAGGACAAATTTTTATTCTCCTTGTTCCTTTTCTTTTTTTTTTATTTTTATTCTTTTTTTACAACAAATTGCTTCGTGCAACAGTTTTTGTTTTTCAGTTTTTTTTGTTTGTAGAAGCGACATAAAACTCAACACCTACAGCAACTTCTTTTTTCTCTCTTTCTCAGCTACGACCTAGTCTAAGAATCAAGAGACACGCTGAACAAAAGAACTGAAACGTACGTTTCTTTCGTGTTTTTTCTTCCATTTTTTTAAGATTTCTTCTTCATTTCGTTAAAAAGTATTGCAACACGGAAGAAAATGGTTAAAGTCAGACGGAGAAATTTTTGTTTCTTTCATCGATCGAGTACAACAGGGCCGATAGTCGTCCCTTCGTCGAGGGGCCTCTCGTTCGTTATTATTTTTCCTTTTTTTTTTTATTTATGTCTGGCTGGCCTTTAAACGTTTCATCGTATAAAGTGTATTTTAGCACCAATATACATACTAGAAATCTTATTTAGAAGACACAAAGAGAAACGAGAAAACCGACTGGACGAGTCACGTGACACAACCTAATTTTTTTTCCTAATCTCGAAATATTATCATTCGGGGAATCAGACGAAGAATCATTACAGAGCTCGCCATTTTGTTCTTTTTTCTTCTTCTCTTTTCAGCGAAGATATTTATTAACGCATGGCGTAAATAATTGATTTGCAATATAGTTTGAAACATATTTAATAAGGAATAATGCTTGGTTATATTCACGTGAAATTGGACATAAACACACAGTACTACTTATACTTCATTGCATTATTTATGAATCAATAGACTAATATACTTAATAATTATTAGACTAATTGTTAACCTAGGATTGTGATCACCCATCAACGTCAGCCACTACCTAAGCAACATTCCCTTTTTTTTATTTTTTGGATATTACGAACGAAACAGAAATATAGATTATATACATATAAAATTTCCTTTTTGTTCACTCTTTCTTGCTCACTCGCTCGCTCGCTCTCCCTTTCCTCTCTCGTTCACAATTCAAAAACCCGGATCCCCGATGAGACGTCTCGGAACAAAACCGACCAAGATCGCACCAAGAATTCGTGTTCTTTTTCTCTCTAAAGTTTAATATCTAAAAAAGAAAAAAGAAAAAAAAAGAAAAAAACAAACACTTCCGTACGCGAATTTTGCATTTTCTTTTTTTTTTTTAAGTAAATTAATAAACATAAGATAAAATAATAATAAGCCGTAGATAATAATAGAGGTAAATAGTAGTAATAAGCTGACAGCGCGCAGCAGTTAGAACCAAAAATATTTTAGATTAGAACTCTGGCTTAAGATGACAATCTGACATGGCACTAGCATCCAAAAATTTTCTCGAAGCACTCGTACACGTGGCACGCACTCTAATTTGTTTCTTTGTTTGTTTCTCCTTTTTACTTTTCGCGTTAGTCTTTCTTATTTGTGTTTTTTTCATTCTTCCTTCGGAAAATTTCGTCTATATATCTTTTTTCGGCGTTTCTATATATTATATTTGCATATTGTGTACAAACCAATTTTTGTATTCCTTTTAAATTTTCCATTCTCTCTCGTATTTTTCTTCCTCTCTACCGGCACAATAAGCTCGCAACTTTCACTCTTACTCGTTCTAACACATTTACTACGATTTTCTTTCTCTCCCTCATTCTCTCTCTTTCATACTAATTCCCTGCTACCTTTCGTTCACGATCCTCGCATTCACCCGTCTCGCCCCTCGACGTGCAATCAGCTGCCAGATAATTTATCTCATTTTTTCTCCGTTTTTTTGTTTTATATTCTGCTTTGTTTATATAGTTATATAACCATTTTCCCAACGATCTACGCACTAAATAGTTCAAATTTTTTGCACTTTTTCACCAACAACAACTGGATTGTTGCGCCGAATTTCTTGAGCGCCCATTTCTCTGTAATCGAACTTGCAATCGTGCTTGTCACTGTATCGATGCACAGAGCAGAACAGTCCTCCACAACGGCATTCGAATCCTGTTAAGAGAGACAAATCGAATCGTAAATTGTCCAAAATGAATCAAGAATGTCTTCTAATTGTCGTTAACTTACCCGTCAAACCAACTTTTTTGCGACACACGACGCAACGATTTTTCTTCTTCTTAGATTCTTTGTCAGTCTCTTTGCCATCGAAGCAGTCGTCTGCATCTCCACTACTCACAGATCCTTCTCCTACTGCTCCACTGCTTACACCTACTTCATTTTCTTGATCTTCCCTATTTATCTAAAGCATAATAGAAATAAAGAGTTATTAATTTACAACTGCTGAATAATTTCCTTCTATCATTTTTCCATAGAATTTTATAAATAGACTGGGGATCTTTATGCAAGTTTATACTTTTATAGAAATAGATAAAGAATTGAATTTTGTAAATGTAATAATATGTACTTCACTTTCGATATTTTACATAATTTTTGTGCACATCTTTGCACCTTTCTGCATACTTATAAATAAATAAATATGCACAGTCTATTTATGACAATTAAAATTA